CCCCCACCCTCCCCTGCCCTCTTCCCCCTTGGTCCCAGCCAAACTCCCCGTGTTTCTCAAGCACCCAGCAAATACCAGCAGTCAGGTTTCCCCGCAACTAATGGGCAAAAAATTCCATAGGTGAGACGGAATAAAAGGAAGAACACTCAACCCCCAACTGTTCTTTATGTATTGGGGAAGTGGAAGGCTGTTTCTTTCCCACCAAAAATTAAATACTTCATAGTTCAATCTCAGATTCCACAGTAAGATTACCTTTTTCCAGAGAGACCATAAATCAAATACTGACTTACTCCCTTTCTGCTTTGTGAGATTACTCTCCTCTGTTTGGATCAAGAAAGAAACACCATGGAAGTATAAGTGCTTGTTCTTGCTTCAGGATCATGCTTACCACCACTTACCAGAGCAGCATCACAGCTTCTCCAACCAAGTAAATGCAGCTATCATACTGAGGAAAAACATTGCAATAAATATCCACTGACTTTAATCTTCCATTGGAAGATCCTGCAAGGCTTTTCACCCTGCAGAAACTCACACCAAGTAAAATCCCAGTGTCTTATTTATTGATGATCACAGTCAAACTGCAGAAAAGCCTGTTTGGATGTTTGTTGCACTGGTGTTTTAGTCCTGGTTAAGGACTAATTTCTGTGCAGGGCTCAGTACCTTCAGTGCCCTTTCAAAGAAGTTGTATCTGAGGGTTTTGGCAACTGAAACGAAGATTCCAGTGACTGACATGATTTCTTTCCTACTTGCACTTTGGTTATGAGAATGAACCACCTTAATGTTTATGGGGATACTATTTTAAGTGAGGTTTTGAACTGCATTTATAGTCACATATATTTTTTATCCTAAATATTAAAACTACAGCTTGCTCCAAAATCTGGTTGATCATGTGATTTTCTTGGAATATAATCTAACAAAACTCCAAAATTTTAAAGACGAAGTCTGGCTGCCTAATTTTTATTTTCTTTGAAACATTACTTAATTTTCTGAGGTTCACTCTCTTTATTTTCACAGATTTTTCATATTATATTTCTAGGCATGGGCCCACTACTCTACCTGTGTTCCTTAGAGTCAGAGAAAAGATTTGTTTTAGAATCATTACCATAAGCATGTATTAAAAAGAAGGAAGGCTAAATCTTTACGTAATGCATAGAAGGTAATATTCTTCCAATAAATGAAAGACATTATATCAGTGGAAATAGGGTTAAAGAGAATCCTCACTTTTATCTTCTACCTCTACCTAGCTTTGCTGCAGGTTTCTTAGCTGTGTTCCTACACTGTGTCCCTTTTGTAAAGGTTCTGTTTAAACAGTTTTACTGCAGGAAGGACAGATTTTGCAGAAGTGAATTCTTTCCATTTTCAGTTTAAAAGTGATTCTTGGAAATCTTGTAGAGGCTTCCATTACTTTAGAGACTCTTTATACAAAAGTCTGAATTCTTGCTTTTCTTAGAGGTGAGAACTGTACCTATAATGTGACAACATAAATGTAATCCAATTTTTTTAATGTTTACAACATTTTTTGCCCATATTTCCTATGAGAAACTTGCTGAAGTCATTTTTGAAACAAGTTATAATTTGTTGGTTACATTTTGTAATGGGATATCCCTGTGTAGTTTCTCTTTCATTAATTAAACAAGTATGCACATCTTTCAGATGGACATTAGAAAATTATTTTGATATATTCAAAATTTGCTCATAATTATTGAGACAGAGCTGCTGCAGAAAAGATCCTAAACAATTTGGCTCATAACATCGACCCTTTTACTATCATGAAGAGTCTTAAGAGATATTAAATAATTGAGGCAATTAGCACATTTCTCAGGATAATACTTATTTTGACATCTTATGGTCCAAGTTATATCCAAAATCTATTGCTGAAGAAGGACTACAGGGAGGTCTCCTTCACTCTTCATTTTCAAGGATATATTTTTTGGTATGTTTAATTATTTAGAGATTGAAACACCTAAGCTGTAGACCTAATTATTTTAGATCTCTGCCTATATCTCTCTAATAAAAAATGACATGACAAAGGAATGAAATATGTCCTGAGTTTAAAATATATTAAATGTGTGTGGAAACTTTTTTCTTTCTGACTGGGGCTATTTTCTGTTGACAGCAAAATGACCTTTGCTTCTTATGTTTATTTGCCTCATTTTCCCTTCTCTCAGTACTCAAAGATTTCAACACACAATCAGTGTAATTTTCTGTAATTTAATTTTAAATAATATATAAATAGATTTATGTTTAACTTGTAAATTAGACTTATAGTATTAGCAGAAAATTAAGGAGCTGACTGATGGAAAGAAAAAACAATTTATTTTCCTTGTTTTGTCCTAGTTCCTTCCTTCCTCTGCCAACAATCACAGTTCTTTCTTCAAAGGGAACACACAGCCAAAGCCTGACTTTTCAGTTTTCCTTTTGCATGAGCATATTCAGCAGTGCAACTCCAGAGCCTTGTTTGCTAGACTCCAATGACACATGCCAGTATGGTTTCTTAAATTATATGTCCACTGGTCTAAATAAAAGGAAAAACATTAAACAAAAAAGTCTTTTCCCTGATATTTTAAAACACAAATACCAAAATATTTACCTTCACTTTTGCATAACCCAAGGACAGCATGGCCCAGATGTAAAGGAACCATGGCACAGATGCAGGTGAACCTGCCTGGGAAGCATCAGACTTCTGGCTCTGAGCTCTGCTTTAGAATACAGAGTGGACTATCTTTTGGTGGGCTGCCAAACAGCCAAATGACCAGAAATTCCCAGGTAATAGGGTGGTGTATTCCACTGAAATATGGCAGGACTGAGATGTCTACATTGCAATCAAAGGTCATGTTTCAAATTTTCTTCTTTCCCTTAGAGAAGGGTTTCCACAAACATGGGTTTGGTCCTCATGGACACCTCCCACAGGCACAAAGCACCAAAGGGCTTTTAGGACTGAGGCAGTGGAATGTTTTCTCTAGGGCAGTGTGCTACATCACAGCCCTTTGTATCGCATAACTTTTGCTGTTGATTAAAATCAGTCTTATTCCCTATTCCCAGAGCTGTTGGGCTCTTAACTTCTGACATCACCTTTGACTCCATGTTGCCAACTAAATTAAGACAAAAAGAAAGGTGAGGAGTGTCTGTAGTATTGGCAAATGTGAATAAATTATTGTAATGGTATTTTTCTCCCTGCATGTGGCTTTTGTTATGTTTTATTAATTTCTGCTTTTTGAGTATCTGAATGCAGGCAATATTCAGTATTACAGATTCATATGGCAGCCAAATAATCACTGGTTAAAATATGCGCACAAAATTCCTCCTCAGTCTAAATAATTTTTTCTCTCCAAACATTTTTTTGTTTCATTTGACCGAGTGAATCTTTTATTCTGCTGCTTTTGGTCACAAGGAGTGTAAGAAGAAAATAATTAAATTGTGAGTGATGTTAGCTAAGAAATGTCTTCCTTTTCTGTTTTTCATACCAACACGAACCTGTGACAATTTGGATCATAAAGGGAATGGAAGCTGGAACCCTTCTGAAAGTATGGGATGACACATCCTAAAAATAGAAATGCCATAGGTATGCCTGTCAGCTGGTCATGGTCATACCCATTCCCTTACCTGAATGATCTGGCAATGTTACTTTTGCAGAGATATTTGGAGAAAGACAAAGCAGAGAAGGAAAAAACCCAAATGTATGGGATGATCAGGAGGAAGTAAATGGAAATGCTGATTTTTACATTTTCTAGTTCTGACTCTGCACCCAGAAGTGGACAACTTGCCAGGAAAATATGATTGCTAGCTCTAATCATTCAAATATTTGTGAGGAATGCTGATTATATAACTACCCTGAGTCTGAAAGAGCACATTTCTTTGAACTGTGCAGCTGAGATGGACTGGTTAAACAATAATAGTAATTAATATAATTTGCTAAAAAAAGGACATTCATCCACAAGTGCATTTTACATTAGCAAAGGAAAATTTACAATATCCTACAATCACAGGACACAAAATAAATAGTAAACAAGAGTATTCCAGTTTTTAAAAGCTGGAAAGTCAAAGCTGAAAAATGTGAAGCTGGCCACACTTTGAAGGCAATTCCAGGAAAAAAAAATAATCAGGATCACCGTGTTATTTTTGTCTTGCGGTAACACTCAGAAGTTCTTTTTCTGAGGCAGCACCCCCATCAAGAATATGTTAGAAATATGCATAAGTTCACATGATGCACAGAGTGAGTAAATAGTTCTGAGCCCACTTACATAAACATCTTTGAAAATTTCAGTCTGAGGTCAGCTAATGGTAGGAATCTATTTTTCCTCTCAATCTTTCTTTATTTTATTCCCATCTAACAGGATACTATAGCTTATGACATATGGTGCCTTAAATTAGGCACTCCAAACCTTGTTCGTTCATCTCAGTGTGTGGAGCCAAGTTGTCTATTAATAGGAAAAGCCTTGCCCTGGAAAAATGTGTGTGCACAAGTCTCTGCATGGGGGAAATGAAGGATATGCTGCAACAGGGAATAAAATTAATTTAATATGTATTACAGAAAGAACCACTCTAATGTAATACTGCCAAACAAAGTGGAGAAGTGCTGTTAAATCTTTATATCCAGAAGTGTGGTGCATTTAGCAACTTGATGACTGTGTCATCCAGCATACTGAGTTTCCAGTCATCTCCAAGTTCTAATGGACAACCTCTCCATAGCTACCTGAGCCCAGAGGGGAATAAATCAAGACCACCAGCTAAGATGCTATGTAATTGCCATGGATATGAGCATTGAATGACCTCAGGTGCTGTGTCTAAATGAAAAGATTTAGCCAAAACCAAAAAAAGTTGCATGTAAAAAGTTACTGTCATTTTTTCTCTTATAAAATAGAAATTTTAAAGGAATGCTACAATGAAAATGCTGACACAAAACAATGTTATTAGAAATATCCAATAAAATTCCCCCCTTCCCATGCAACTCACTTAGTGTAAGTTTAAAAAAAAAATCATTAAAAATAATTGTCTTAGGGAAGTGAGTTATAGACCTTTATGATTATTACTATGCAAGAATTAATAGATATATATGTAATAACCAAGGTCTCTTGATGATTTCAATAGCCATTCCTCTGCTTTTGAAAAATGCAATTTTGCAGCATTCTTCTATACATCATAGCACTGCAGAGATCATTTGCCTAGCCTATCACTTTGGCTGTCAAATGTAACATTCTTTTTCTATCAGATATAAGCAGCTTGTCTTCACCTTCAAAGCCTGCACTTCATCCTACCTATCATCTCTCATTCAGGATCAAAAAGTAACTTCTTTCACTGATTAGCCCATGATGCCAGCTTCCTTCATTGACTTCTTAGATTTTCAGTCACTCAGTTTGAAGCTTTATCCCATGCCATTCCTTATATTTGTAAAGTGCTCCTTCAGACATCTGTAAAGCTACCTCCTTATCTTCCTTCTAATCCTGTCTGTGAGGTTCCCCTGCCATTATGCCTTCAAAAGAAGTTTCAGAATTTGGACTGAATTTGCCTAGTTATAATGAGCTGTTGCCAAAAAAAAAAAAAAAAAAAAAAAAAAAAAGATTTCTGGATTTCTGGATCAGCTTCAAATGGAGCACTCCCAAAGATCTGAAGGTTGGTATTTCCTACTCAGATGCTGCACTGTCAATTCTGCATGGTTACCAGTGCCTCATTTTTCAGAGGATGTTGCCTTGCTGTTGTTGGGCAAAAATATATTTCCATTTGAAAACATAGGATGAATATAAGGGTGATCTGTCTGGATTGTAGAAGCAACACATCTGAAACAAAGAGATAATCTAGAGGATGCCTTGGTCTTTTCTTTCACATGCAGGTGTTTAAGATATTATTTATATTGATCAAAGGAAATAGCCTTCCTGCTGGTGGACACAGGCATAGGAAATTGTACTTATGTGAAAAGACTGATGGGACATTTTTAGTTTTGATCACCAGTTTGGGGGGAGTTGAGGGTAGAATATTGCCTTGCTTTGTTCAAATTTCTGTTGTGGAAAGAATGAGTGGTCACAGGATGCAGCATATTGCACTGGGTCGCCATCTCAGATGAGAAGAATTTTAAAGCAATTACATTTGCAGCCTGTGGCCTTGAACACTTTGGCATGGTGTGTTGTGTTTGTATTCCCATCTCGAGCAGCAGTGACTCAGGACCAAGTCATCCCTTTACAGGAATTACCTACAAAGGAAACCGGAGCCTCCACGGCATCTCTCTGTCATCCCTCTCTCCAGATGGTGCCTCTAAATCCCTTCTGAAGGCGATTGTGCAAACCAGCATGTAAGTAAGTTCTGTTGGTTTTGATCTAAGCATCTCTAATTATGGTAGAGATTTTGTTTCAGGATGCTGGAAAGGTGCCTGCCTCCTCCTCTCCCTCACCTGTCCCTCCTGGCACTCAGCCCCAGCTCTTCCACAGCTCCTGAAAAAGCAGGAGGGAACACTTTCCTCAAACTCGCCAATTCAGGTTTTCTTGAGCCTCCTTTCTACAAGGTTTTCATCCCCCAATCCATCAGCATTTCCAACTGCTGCAGGACCAGCAGGCTCCTCCATTACTCTGCATGGAGACACTCAGAAACCTTGCGAGCCCTCCATCACTGCAGAGCAGTTGGGCTCACATCTCACTCAGCCTGGCTAAAATCCTCTGAAAAATACTGTGGTGTTCAAGTGATTAGACTGTCTTCCAGAGAAGCAGGGACTAGATCCAATTTAAAAACCTTTAACATATGGAATAACCATTTTAAAAACACCCTTTTTGATTACCTTTCTATAATTTCTCAGGAGTGGATCTGAACTTTTAGAAAGTCATGCATCAATGGGATGTAGATAGCAAGTCTTGGTCAGAATTTCAGTCTGAAAACACCCACAGAGTTGTGCACATTTCTCAGAAACTGAAATCACTTCCAGACTGAGCTTTTTAAACTAAGTTTCAGCATAAAACTATTTCTGTAGCCAAACTATAAACCCCTGAAAATAAGAGTTTATGTGGAAAGGCTGAAGCTTTACTTAAAGCACTGCTAATGTCTATGGCACTCAATGATTTGATGTTGAAGGCTATTAATCCCAAAGAAAACTTTCTTGGAAGAAGTTGAACTTTAGAGGTCAATGAGATCTCAGAGGAAGCTGGACTGAAAACTGAGAAAAGCTGATTTTGTCCATATAAATCAATTGTTACTGTTTCCTGTCTGAGAAAAAATTTAATGCAAAGATTAAGGATTTATGAACAGGAAAAGGGAGAACCTCTAAAGGTCTTGTAAGAAGTGATTAATAACATTGGGGGTTTTTTAGATAATGCTATTTTAAAACCATGTTCAAAAGCCATGCTGATTGTTTAAGCAAAGGATAAACTATGTTCACTCATGTACCTTGGTTTAATACTTGTGGTCAATGTTAACTTGTGATATTGTAATTGCAAACACTGTTTTGTAAGAATTGACCTTCACTTTTCAGCAGAATTAGGACAATTAACAGACAATACACAAGAATTTTTAGTAACATGGTCTAGAAGATTTGAAGAATTTTTTTTAATTGTATTTTGAAGCAAAAATATGTCCGGCAGATCTGTTTTGAGGGGTGCAGCAAGAGCATGAGGCTGCATTAGGCAGAAGTCTTCCAGTGTAGCATGAGAAGCTCACTCCTGCATTACTACCAGGGATAGCCAGAACCTCAAATGCCATTAAGTCCATGTGACTTAACTCCCTAGGAAGTCATCACATTATAGTTCCCCAAGTGGTCAAGACTCTGACACAGGGCTTGAATGGCTTCCTGTCGTTGGAACTGAAGAATGCTTGAAAACAAAGCAATAAATCCTCTCCTTTGCTACAGACAAGTAAATAAGAGGAACACTTTTGGGAGGCTCAAAGCAAAATGTAGAAAGGAAGGCTATTTAAACTTAAACTAAAGGTTTTTGGGTAGGCTTCGTGTTCCATATCAATCTAGGTAACAGGATCCTACTTTGTCTCTTATCAATTTAAGAAATGTTAAGTCTTTTGGAGCAGTTACAACAGACATCTATCTGTCAATTAAAATAATAGTGATTGAGGTATTTTGAAATTTGTCTGCTTCTATTGAATTCATGCAAGTAAATTACTAGCAATTGAAGCTATGTGTGTGGGTGGGCTTTCAATCACTAATTAATCACAGCCAGAAAATAGTATCTCATTTAATGCATTTTCTTAATCTTGTATTGTTCTGATTATTCCAGAAAAACCAAGAATTAAAAAAAAAATACAAACTGTTTCTATGTGGAAAAAAACCAAATCCTACTTAAATGGAAACATGAACGAACTAGTATTTATGCAAGGTTGTATGGGGCACTATCCTGCCAGTCTCATGGGATGAAACAGCATTCCCAATGTCACATGTTCCAAAACTTGTCCCACACTAAGTGGTGCCCAGGGCAGAGGAAGAACAGCACAGCTGTTCCTTCTCTCCTTCATGGAATGTAGATGGGACAGTAACCAAGTGAAGTGTACTGTGACTACTGAGTGTGAGGAGGAAGGCAGTTTATCACCTCCAAGACAGCAATCCTGAAAGTGGTTGGTAAATATTTTGGAGATGTCTCAGTAACCGATGAAGAGAAGATAGGTGATTCTGCTCCTGTCGACATTTTCTCTGACCTGCTAAAAGTGCCACTTGTTTAAAGTTGCCAGTGGTACCACTTGTCTGAGTGCACCAGTACAAAGTCAAGCCTGACTTTCCCATATTATTGCTTTTTAAAAAAGAAAAGCATTAATGTAAATAAATGTTTATGTAAATACAAAAGGAAAGCTAATTTTGTGTGACTGTTAACAGCTACAAATTGTATTGCTCCTTACTTTAGCTCAAATGCTTTGGTTACACTCGTTTTTTTAAATTTTGAAGTTTCAGACTTTTTTCTTCAGTGAAAGAAGAGATCTCAGTGTGTCAGCAGAACTCTGAATGAAATCTTAGCTTCCAAATCAGTTCCCCTCTTGGACAAAATTCCTCCTCTCCTAATGCTGTGAATGGCATGGTGAAAGTAGAGTAACACGCATCTTGGCAAACCAGTATTTGCCCAGGAGGAGTCTGAGCCATTGTGGGCAGATATATAGTTTTTACATTCTACTAAAGCAAATAAACAAAATTGTCAGGATGGCTCATCTTACAAGCAAAGAAAAATTCTCAGTCATCAGAGTCATTGGAGCAGTGCAGTCTTTCCACGTGGTGGTACAGCAACTATGGCACTGCCTCACAAGATCTGCCTCACACCTTGAACTTCCCCAAGCATCTGTGACCAAAGCTTCCCTCTTTTGTTCTGCTAACTCTGTTGTACACCCAGGGCTAGTATGAATTTAGTGTTTGGATGCCATAGTGTTCTCAGTGTCTCAGACTGACTTCTGTACTAATTCCTGCCAAGCAACAATTTCATAGCTTTTTTTTTCCTATGCCACAGAACTGTTCATTTTGTGCCATTCCTTTGTATTTTAGTACATAACATCACTGAAAGTACATATCTTTCAGGAGTCTATGATGACAATGCTCAGGCAACTCAGAGGAAAACAGGAAACAAAATCAGAAATAAGGCCTTGAAAACATAGCTGGAGATACCCAGAGATGGCTGTATCTAAGAGCCAGAGAAGAAATGTGACATATGCAAATGAAAAACAGTTTAAGCTGTTACTCTGCAACTGTTTGACTTGCATTTTGTGACTTGCAAAAATTATTTTCTGTAAAACATTCCTTTAAAATAGTTTTTGAAAAATATATTGATGCTTAATATATTCACAATAATCATATTACTGAAGTTGCATATAGAAGGTGCAGGAAACCCCCAACCCTGTAAAGACAGATGTGATTTACTCACCCAAATTAGTGCTTGACTAGTCATGTCATGAAGAGATGAAGAGCCTCTATTTAAGTTTTTATTCATCAGGAATGTTTTGGGTCATCTGATTTGTTTTTACTTAAATGGGAAAGACTTTCTGGAAAGACAGTAAATGAATTTGAATTAAAACCTTAAAAATTAACTCTTGTTTTACAGAACAAATACAAGAGATTCTGTCAGCAGCCTTTTCTACAGAAAGATGGACTTCTGGCCCATAGCTGTTAAATAAGAGGAAAATTACTATTAATCCCATCAGTTCTCAACACTAAAATAATTTCTAATACTCTTTTCCAGTGATTTTTTTTTAAGTCAAAAGAAGCATCTTTTTGGCATTTTCTGTTTGCAATCAAATTCTCTGTGGTAGTCTTTATGGTGACCTTTACACTAGAGAAGAAATGCTAAAAATCATTAAAACTGATATTGCCACATAAGAGAATTCAACTGTTTAACAGGAACCCATTTGAAAATGTTTATTGTAATTTTTTTTTCTCCCCTCAGAGTAAATCAATAGCATAATACCCAGCTGCATGATAATATTGGCAAGCGAAGCCATGAATTTCAACTGCAAACCCTAAACACTGAATGTGCTGTGCTTTTTAAAGAAATCCCCTTTTGTATGAGATATGTAATACCCTTTTGTCCTGGAGCAGTTTGCATAATAATAGTTTTCTTTACTTATTTGTTGTCATGTGATGGAGCTGCAAAGTGAGCTACACAGCAACAGCATAAAAGACAATTTTCCATTTTTCTCTAATTTTTCAGACATTTTCTTGTCTTTTAAATGTAAATACGTCTATCTTTGGAAAAGCTATCTAGTTATTAACATTTCAGACCTAATTGTTACTTGATATCTACCAAACTATTTGTGCTTTTCTTTTTCATAAGAAACAGGAACATTTCCTTTGCATTCCCTCCTGAAGAGCCTCAAGCATATTGGGAAAATTTGGCATATGATCAACTGGTGTAAATCAACATAACTCTATTCAAAAATACCTCACTCAAGATTTTAACAGTAGAACTACTTGAGCAGAGAAGTCAAGAAAAATTTATGTTACTAACTGTATAATTTCTATGAGTTGTGCATGTCTTAGACTGTGCCACTGAGATGAAAGGTAATACCTGACTGAAGAGCAATCTTTATTTTTAAGATTTCTAGGACACATCTGAGACTAAGCATGAAATAAAATTTTAGGAATTTTTCCATGAGATTTCCTATGTAAAATTTTTTTAGGATTCCTCTTGGGCTCTGGGATGTGTTCCAGTCTGAGTAGTAAGTAAGGAGCACAAAGGAGATAGAATTACATTGAAATGAAGCTCAGTCTTAGTCACAATGAAATCTAAGAGGAGGACTAGAGACAGGGGAAGATCCTCTGCTAATGCATAATAAACTAGCTATTATTCTAACTGCTGTTATCAAAGGATTTTTCCTTTGAAATCAGTAGAATTATGCCAAGTCACTCTAGTTGTGACTTTGGCCATAAAATTACACATAGGTTTGAACCACTGGCCTGTAACCACTGCAAAGGGACCATTTACAGGCAATCCTTCCAAAGTAACAAAGGAAAGCTATTTTTTTACCCATTTTCTCAAATTCAGAGTGCAGAGAGGGTTCATAATCTTACTAGAAAACATTTAGAGGTTTGCAAATTGAAAGAGGTCAAGATTAGATTATTTTGGAGATGTTCACAAGGTTGATAAACATAACAATATATGGTCAGATCTGAGCACTGCAAAGAATATCCAGGTAGAAAATAAAAGGCTCCAGAGCCCCCGTAAATCTTTTTATAGCTCCACATGTTAAAAAAAGAGACTATTAGATACAGACATCCTTCAAAACTTAGATTAATAAATCAGCATATCCCTTATGAAGCCACCATATATTACTGTTTTCTAAAATATCTAAGATCTGTCTTTGCCAAACAGCACAACAAGAAATGTTCACAGCTTCAACCAGTGGAAATTAATACCAGCGACAGAAATCCTATCACTGGAGCCATGGAGGAAGACACACACTCCAGGTAAGACAGTATTATAATGATTTTATGTACTGTAAATCTTTTAATCTGGACTCTCACAATTGAGCCATGGGGTTCTGTCCTCTGGGAAATAAGAGTTGCTTTATATCAGTTGGATACCACATACTCTTAATGCACTGCAAGCTGAACAACATGTCTTACACCCTGTCCTAGTGATAGTGAAATATATTAGCTTAGATCATTCTCCTTGCCTAGGGAACCTGAAAAAAAAGGCATTTCAGGAGGAAAAGTTCAGTGGAGCTTTCTGAAATGCTTTACTAGAAAGGTACAGCCCATCCTTTACTTATTATGTCATTATAAGGCACTCTGAGGTTTTTTGGAAGTAGGTACTTGTTACTCATAATCATCACATACCTGTCCTTGGGATACAGTTCTTTTATCCAATTTTCTTGTTCCACTCCCCACATTTCTGGGGTTCTGTGATTTTTTTCTTCTTCCTAACAGATGTAGCAAGAACCTTATGTGCTCACCACTTTCTTTTTTAATTTCTTAGAAGTGTTGAAGTTTTTGTTCACAGAACACTGAATGAGAATTAAATTTTTCTGTTAAAAAAATACCACAGCTTTTCAAATATGTCATTTTTATGTGACTATTTTAAAGTTATGCAGATGGCAAAAAAAATTGGAGGAATCAGCCATGGGATTTGTTTGATTTTCTGAAACAACTGTTGCTTAGTTTGTGAGGCAATGAAGTCTCTACTAAAAGCAGTAAATTCAACTTTTTTCTATTAATAATCCTCCTTCAGATGATTCGTCAAGTCCATCCAGGTATTACATGGTGTACAGCCTTTTTCTGATACTTTGATATAAATAATTTTTATTAAGTAGGAAGTGTAAGTCCATTCCTGGCAAGCATAATTCAGTTAGATCTTGATACTGTGCATTTGGACTTGGAAAAACAAATCTTCCCTAGTGCTAGCTGCAGTAGGCAGTGTTGCAAGGAAATGACAGATTAGGACATACTTCTATTCTCTTTCTGTGACAACTCAATAAGAATGCACTTTCAAGTTTTTTTGATTTTTTTTTTTTTGATATTTTGTAGCAGCTGTGCATGAGAATTCATCCCAAATAGTCTTCTGGTGATCCAGCCACTAAGAAAGAATCCCAAACTCCCAAGACCTGAGTCTAAATGAATTTAAAAGCTTATACTATGTTTTTTGGTTACATGTGCTTTAAAACAGAAGGTTTATTCTCACATGTTGCCATGTCTTTATTGGAACCATTTATTTACTTTTTATAGGAGTGAGAGCATGACTACTTTTATGCCAGCACATTTGATTGTGCATGACTGACTTTACACTTACAGGAATCTATTGTTGGTTATGAGGAAAAATAAAATTTCTGTAGAGCGTTTAACTCTGTTGAAGTTAAACAAGACATATCTTTGGAAATCTCTTAAAGGATTATTTCTAATGGCACCATTGGGACCCTTGCTTTGCTTATAAAAAAATATGTGAATTTATAAAGGACAAAGATACAATTATCCTAGGATAGCTTCAGGGAAAACCATCATACTTCTTTCAGAGGAGGTGAACAGTAACAGCATATGTTACTGTTCCATGGGCAGACTGGCTTTTATTTTAACTGAGACATAGTCTCCTACCACTTTTGATGGTCAAAATTAATTCCCTTTAAATCAAGATATTGTATTTCCTAAGTAGAATTAGTCCTTATTCATATGAGTACAAGACAAAGAATATTCCTAGCCAGGATTTTAATACTGCCAGTGATGAAAATCTGAATGCTTGAAGTCTCTCAGAATTCTTAGATCTTTGAGAGACAGACTCAAAGTCTGTCCCAGTTTAATCCAAGAAATTGCAAACTTGGTCTCATTGTAACAAAAGCAATTATATTCATGGGGCTTTTTTTCTTTCCTAGATCAAGAGTTCTGTCCTCTACATTCCCACTAAAGCTTTTCTGCAAAGTCCTTACAGAGCTGAATAAACCTTGTTAAAACTTAATTACATGTTGTATTAAAAACCCATCTGGAAATTACATTTCTCACAAGGTGGTGTTTAATTAGTAACAGTTATTTCTCTTGACTCCCCAATGAGCTGCTTATGAAGATGGAGGGACTTTCACATGGGCAGAACTGAAGTTTGAGCTGAAGAGGATCTTTAAAAGATCCTCAGTTCTCCCAGCATCTTTGTGTATATAAACCTGGGGTCTGGTTGTTCTTCTTTACACCTGGTCTCAAGCATGAATTACTGTAACAGCACCTCCCCTGACAGTGAAGTGCTCCCTCAGTAGATGTGAGCTTATTGTCTGGGTACTGTTGCTAGGAAAAGCAGCTGATCAGGGTGCCAGTGTGGCAGCCAGTTGATGTAATACATGCTTGATAAAGCCCTTATCAGAGCCTTGCACACTTTCAGGAATGCTCATGATTCAGCTGTATTTATCGATATGAAAAAAGCCCCATTCTTTCTTCATTTCACTCACCTGTTGGAAGCTGGCCCCACAGAGGTGGGTATTAAAGCTTGAAATCATCAGTGTCACCTCCTGCTATTCCTGCCCATCACACAGTGGGCATCACACAGAGGATGCAGCAAAGGAAATGCCGTGTCAGGAGTGTTTTCCCTCTGCAGCTGTTGTGGTGATGTGAGCAAGGCAGAGTGCTCTGAGCTGCTCTTCTCCAGTCCTGCACTCTTTTGATGGCCTCTCAGGTGCTCTCTGCAGTAAACCATCTCACTCAGACAGAAACAGAGGAAAAAAGGCCATCAGAACTGAACTGGGGACAAGTCTCTGGCATAACATTCAACTGCAATTTTCTCTTCCCAAGCTTTCAGTAGATGACCACATTCAGGGAGGAGGAGGAAGATTTTATTTAGCTACCAGATATTTTGATAAATGCTATTTAATAATATGAAATCAAATGCAATCCTTTTTTTATAAAGACTCTTATGGTACTTATTATTAAGCAAATCATATCATTTCCTTCAATTCCTTATGCAGCAAACAGCTTCCATCAGGGAGCATTTCCTTAACAAAAGACATTCTTTAACAGAACTGAGATTCTTTTCTCTGTATTGACAAGAAAGATGACCAAAGGAAAGCCTTTAATCTTGGGGAAAAATCTAAGAAAAGTGTTTGCTAAATACATTAGTGGCTTGCTGATCTGTGATTTAGCATCACTGCTCCTTTTTGCAGCTGCTGTGTAAAATGCAGATTAGCTCTCAGATACCTTTCAGGAAGGATTTGATGGATGGCCCTGGGTTGCCCTAGCAGCCCCTACACCCTTAAATTGAGTGATTACTGAAGCAAAGGGATCACACTCCCTTTAGCCAATACCTTGGCTACTCTATATACCTTGGCACTTTCTGGCCTTTCAAATGGTTTTCAAAGCCTTGGCCGCTGGGGTGCAACTCTAAACAGCCTGTTACGTGCACCCCTCTGAGGTGGAGATCATTGAGGGGATATTGCTGTAGTGGAGATAGGAGCTTTTTATAATGCTTTTATGATTTGACTGGAATGGTACTGGGATAAGTAATTTTGTAAGGATGTAAACGATGTGAAAAGGCGAAGGTGATGTGCTGATTACCCTCAAATAAGTGAAGCTTTCCTGTATGCAAGAAGTTCTACAAAGGCATTCTGGTCAGCCTTCCAAAATCAACTGTTAGATAGTTTTGAACAACTGCCAGTGCAAAGTTTGTAACTTCAAAGACTCTGGGCATATTTGCCCATCCAAAGTTTTGTATCCTCATATCTATGGTTTACTGAATCAGCAGTCTGATGCTAATTAGAATAATTATAGGCCTGATTATTTTTTTTTGTTGTTTTTTTTTCTTTTGAGGGAGGGGTGGCAGGGAAGGGAGAGGAAAGTTGTTTGGATTTTTGTTTTATTAAACACATCTGTCTCAGTCGTGAAGGGTTGGCTGGAACAAGCAAGAACTGTGGAATATTTGGGTTTGTTATTAGCTTCATCAAAAAGTACCTCTGTGGTACCGATTTTATCAGGGACAATTTTGTAACTTGGAAGATCCTTTGTAACCTCAGGAAGGTTCACAGAGTACAGCAGAGGACAGAGCAGAAGAAATCAAGTAGAAAGTGCAGATGCACACAGTACACTTGGGGAGGCTATAACACCTGGGCATTGCATTCCTGCTGATTTGCAAAGAAACCAGTTTGTGTATCAGCTTAAAGATAACTTGGTCATCTGTCACAGGACATCTGCTTCCTGCAAACTGAGTCTGTCCTTTCTTTTCACTTACTTTTCAGTCCTGACCATTGAAACACTGTGGTTTAATTGTGCAAAACTGGGGTTCGAGATCCAAGATATTGCTCAGATTGTTCTGCAATAAACTTCTGATTCAGCAGTGTCAGCAGGACGGAGCCAAATTAACCTCATCTCTGCAGCCATCATATGACAATAGGAATCTTGCTTCTGGATCACTCAGACAGCTCTGTTGTCCAGATGATTTTTTGGATGTGTGACTGTTCTAGTTGTCTTTGATTTTCCATTTATACGTCTTGCTAATTTCTTCATGGCTTGCAGAAGGCATTAATGTCTTCTCTGGCCCTGCAGTTCCCACTCACATAAAAGCTTCACCACAGTATGCCCTTTTATACCTTAGTCATTCTTGCTTACTGCTCTACAAAGGGCATAGCTGATCCTGGGAAATCTTTTTCTCTGGCATGCTGATGTATTGTGCTTAATGTATTATCAACAATGACAGAGCGCCCTCAGGCAACTCCAGCAACACAGAAAGCATAGGGGGTTTTATACAACAGTTCTTTTGAAAACAAGTGTATATCCCACACAGAAAACTTCTCGCTTTGGTTTCCTGCAGGTTGAAGCAGCCGTTGATGCTACACGGAAAGACAAGCCAAGGAGACCTTGCTCAGGTAAATCAAACCTGAAAGTAGTGGTAACTGTGCTGGAGTTTATTTGTGTTGTCCATTCATGTAACACTGCAGGAGCTTCATGCAGCACATACAGAAAGCAAGGTCTAGAAAGGACCCAAAAGGGCAACCCTGCCCTCATTTCCAGGGCTGTGCTGTACGGTTTGCTCCTGTTACTTCATTTGCATGAGAAAGCAAGAAAGCCATGTTGAAAGGCTGCACGTGGTAATTAGTTTGAGGAAATAGAAGGAGGCATTTCAGAAAAACTTCACATTCCTTGCACACAGTGCAGGTCATCTTGCATTTACATTTATGCTCCTATGGTTGCAAAATGTCTCAAGTCTGAGAGACAGGGATGCTGTCCCAAACAGATTTTTATATCGCTTTTCTTTCAAAAAACAAAAGTGAGTGAATGTTTTTCTTGACAAACTGTTGACAGTTCTGTAATTCTGGACATTAGGAGTGCTAGCATAAATCCCATACATGCGTTTCTAAATTAAGAGTCCAAAACAACCTCATTCCCTGATCACAATGTAAAGAATTATTCAGGATTCAGAAAGAATCCAATCTTTCAGTGAGTTTCACTTAATTTAGAAGCTTGTAATGAATAGGAATTTTTAATCTGTTTGAAATCTCTTTTCAAACTGAGCTCTAGCTATAACCGATCCTTCTGACTAGCTGTGTATAGTTGGAGTGCCAACAGTTAGAAATACAAGTGCACAGTGCTCTTCTGTCCTCACAAGAAACTTGAAATCTCTGTACTCTGGAGCTCAGCCAGAAATGTTCTTGCGTGCCTTCTCTTCTCCTGACTTCAGCTCTTACAGTAGCCCCCAGCACCACACAGGAAATCATCTTGGTTTTCCATTAGATTCCATTTTGATGTATCAGGAAGCTGGTATGTTTTTGAAACATATGCAGTGCTGCATGTATTTTGTCTGCATTTCTACTACACGATATGTACACATCAACATCTTGGAAACTGCTACAGATATTTTTTGGAGCTAAGGGAAAGGGGGAGCTTTATGAATTACATCTTTTTCAAAAAGAGACCGTGCAAAATGCTGCTCAAATTGCTCACAGGGCTGAGAGAGGTATTTGGTAGGCCGCTGTTGCATGGCAGAAGCATTCCTCCCACATCCTGGACAAAGATTATACTTAGAAAATTATAGAGTAAAAATGAATCTGCAGACGATTTAATCCATTTTAATTTTTTTTACAATGTCTGTCCTTCCTTTACCTATTACCATGGTGAACAGAGGCAAACTCTGGCACTGCAGTGGGAGAGAGCAGTGTTGAATAGGACAGAAAACATGCCACCAGTCACGTATTTCCCTCTACTTGTTTCATGGGTGGGGGCTGTCCCTCTTATTTCTATTTCTTTTACCTCTGAGCTCCGAAGTCAGTATGAGCAGCAACAGGCCTTCACAAATGTGCTAAGGAGGAACCTCTTGGGTTGGCTTCTCAACATGCTTTATCTTTTGCTGACAAATTGGTGTCCAGGCCAGAACTTAATGAAGTCTTCAGAGAAAAATTTTCAGCAAACCTGGGGATCTCAAAGGTGTGGACCTGCAGTAAAACCAGAGTAACATGATTTATCTACTTTTACTCAGCTTTTGAAAAGCTGAAAATTCAGCTTTGCAGCAAAGTGTAAAATCACCTTTCTAGCTGCACCCACTTTATTATTTTTCAGGTTTCCTTATATTCCAAAAAAATAGGACACCATCTTGGAGTAATTTGAATAATAATTTGAAGTTTATCTTCCCCTGATACCTTCAAGCCTGAAAGCTTCCTGAGCACCTCTGCTACACCCCCCAAGAAAATTATCTGCACAAAGCTATCCAAACACAGTATATCTGTGATTCCATTTCCCTCTGAACTGTGGAGCAGGATTCACACCACCAGGTAGGTGCCACTCTTTCTCCAGAAGCAAGCAAAGTTTGCTCTCCTGTCTGTTGAAGAAACTCAGGAGATACAATGTCTTCCTGAAGCACTTCATTTCTGGTGCTGGATTGATGTTTCTGTCACCACAGAGGGCTTCCAGTGCTTGGGTAGGACCTTTTATGTGACTGGCTCATCTACCACTGAACCGTTTTGCTTCCCTCATTCAGATGTAGGCAGGACAAGCAAATGGGCAGCACCTTACCAGGCTGTTGAAGACTGGGACAATACTCAAGAAATAGGGCTGTCTAAGAAAGTTAGTTTGCCTGAGCATTAGCAATTTGGAGGGAAAATATAAACAGTGTCTTGATTCTGGAAATATTAAGATAAATTGCCAAATTTGGGGTTTTTTTCTACCGAAAAATATGTGGGCAGAAACATTTCTCATAATTCTAGGAGCCAAGAGTTTTTTTCCATATGAAAACAGATAAAGTTTTCTAAGGAATTGGTAGTACTAATCTCTTGGTAGAAAAACACCCACTTACTAAGAACCACAGGCCATCTCAGTCCACAGACCAGGAACTGAACGTACAACTAATATCAGTAATGTGCTCATGTGCTATCTGATAGAATTTTATATATACATAAATATATATATAAAAGGAAACAGAAGTTCCGTATGCTGCTGCTGCTGCTGAGCCAGGAGCTAGGAAGCACTGTCCTTACAGTACCCCTGAAATTGGGATTTGACAGGCAGACCTCAGCTGGCCAGAATCAGCAAGAAGTGCAGATTCACTTGCATAAATACAGGCACTGATCTTTGAAAACTGCTGCTCTGAGCTGCCTCATTTGCACCAGCAGTAAAACAAGGCAATAGAGTTAGTCCTGGCTGGTGAGGAAACACAAGTCTTATATATAAGTTCAGCTTTGTTACTGAAAAAGTGTTACTTTGCCTTAGATGTGAAGGGAGGAGGGCTTAATTCCTGCTCAATCCTCTTGATTAACTTGCATAAATGCACAGTGGGTCTTTGTAAATCACCTTTACTGGATGTATTTTCTGTCTTAAAATTTCATGTTATAATGAACAGTCAAGAAATCCAGATGAGCTGTTACAGTGAGAGCATTTTAAAGGGGTAGATGTTATGGTACACTCTCAGGTCAGGACATTTCTGTCTCTTTGGTATTGTTTAATGTCAAGGAACTTGATTTTCTCAGCATCATCGGGTAATTTTTTATGAAGCAGGTAGTTGAACACAAGTAAATACTAATGTACAGCACCAATTCCTTTCTTCTGATTCCTGTTCTGGTTTTATAAATAGGACCTGTGCAATTAGATTTTTACATTTAACAGATTCCTTATTTGAAAGCTTACTTAGCTTTCAAATTTAGATTTGAAAAAAACATAGAAGGAATGAAATTAAATGTTTCTTTTGGATAGCACACTGACAAACAAAAGGAAATCCCTTGCTGCAGGATATTGCAGTCACGGGTCACAAATGTTTAAGCAGGAGTTACTGCCATCCAGAGGAGAAAAGCCATAAACTGTCATATTTCCTTATTTTTTAAGCATAGAAAGGTAAACCTAAATGGTTGATTCAGTTTATTTCATATTAAGGAATCAAAGAATAGAGAAATATAATAAATGTACCCAGACGTATCTGTGGTTTTTGGTTTTTTTAATGTAGATATTTATGAAACAAAGTTCAGAGAAACACTGGGAAAGCACAGTAAAAAACACATCCACAGATGAAAAAGCACCAGGTCAGAGCCAAATTTATTTTCCTCTCTTCATTTGAGATATTTAAGGAAGAGGTTTCAGAAACAGCTGCGCCAGGTTCCAAGCTTTGTACGCAATCCAAGAAGTGGAAAGGAGATGTGCATGCCGTGCTGTATCCCAGAGCTCTGGGGACACACAGGCAGAGGGTGACACAGTGAGACAGACGGGTGGGGATGCTGGCTGTGCTGGGCATCCTTCCTGCAGGCCACAGGGCAGTGCTGGCCTGGCGGGCACAGAAAACCCCCAGCGGCTGCTGAATCAGGGGGCTGGGAGATGCTGTGGGCTGAAGGGATTTTTCACAACTCTTAATAACCGAACTAGCAAAAGAACTGTGTGTCCAGCTCCGAAAAATAGGTCCCTCCCTCTTCAACCCCCCCTTCCCCCACAAACCGACAAAAGCACAGTAGGAAACAAATAAGTCATTCGGGGAAATAGAAAAGGGGAGAATGGGAAGTTCAGCACGTCCCTGAAAGTGAACAAAAATAAAAGCTCTGAGCCGAAGGAGAAAAGAAGATCTGAGGGGAAAAAATATATTTGAATTTAGTGTCTTTTTTGGGCACTGGCCCATGGCCAATCACGGACTGTAGAAAATCCAAGAATGGCAATTCATTTTGCGCAAAAATCCATAATGACAATCTTCCCAGGACAGGTCTTCTTGAATATCTTATAGAAATTGTAGCTCAGGATCCTTCTAAACTTTATTGCTTCAATACCTTTTTTTCCGTCGGGGAATTAACGTCCAGGTGCTCGTGTCTCTCCTTGGCCAGGCCTGACGAGAGAAGCGGACGCAGCCATTTCCCATTCCCGGCTGTTCCCGGGCGCGGGCAGCGGCCTCTCCCTGAGGGGCCGAGCCGGGCTGCGCGGGCCGNGACTGGGATGGGACAGGGCGGGACCGAAGCGGACCGGCGCTGCCCAGCAGGTACCGGGCCAGCTGTCGGGCGGGTTTGTGGCCGCAGGGAAGCAGAGGGAAGGTGGCGCTGGGCCAGGGCGGGTGCCGTGGGCTCCGCCGGAGCTGCGCAGAGCTGGGGAAGCGCGGCTTGGGCCAAGCGCAGCGGAGACGGCTCCGCTCCCGGTGAAAGGCTGCAGCACACATGGCTGCTTTGCCGTGGTGCTGCTGAGCAGCGGGGTCTGCTGGCCCTCCGAAAGATCATCAGAAGGAAGGGCCGCTCCAGGAGGGAAAATTTTCCCATCGGAGGTTAATTCTCTAGAATTTTAGACCAAGTATTGAGACACGTACTTAGCTTTGCCAGTCTGATTTTGCCCACAAGGGTAGCAGACATCTACCCCAGGGAGCAGAGCAGAGCCCAAATCCTTTGTGAATGCAACCAGAGATATTCTCATGCTTCGTTTGCGAACACAGTGCCCAACCTGGTTAAACAAATTAATTCTTTTCCTCGAGGGGCTCTGCTTAATGGAGGGATTTCCAGAAGAACCCAAGCCTAAGACCAGTAATATGCTTGCCTTACCCCAGATTTATTTGTTGAGGTAAGAGGGAGGTCAAAAGCACTGAGTATTCCATTTCAGTAAGTTATGTGCCCAATGACCTGCTGTAGGAAGAACTATTGATTTCTGCTTATAACTCCTGTTGAGAGTCCTGTACATATCGACAGTCCTGGCACACCCCACATTTAAATACTAGGAGTGCCAAAGACAACCAAGCAAATATTTTATCTTCCTATCTGCAAATTTCCTTCTGACAAAATATTTCTGGTTTGATTGTTTCCAATGACATGCAAGAGTTTTATTAGTTTACAGCCATTTAAAATAATAAAATATTCCAAGATAATGGTTTAGGGTATTAAAACAGGTTATGTTACCTTCTCATCCTGTATAAGGCTTGAGGAGAAAGGGGAGCCTCTCCATTACTAAACAGTTTGTTCTCAACAACATTCATAGTCCATTAAAAAGTCCATCAGAATACCCTATTGATTTTACTCAAATACCCAGCCCACAGAAAGTTAATGAAGTTGCTAGTGAGACAAGACAAGCCCCGTGGTTTTTGCCACTGTACCAGTTACCTTCAGTATAGCATCGTGTCATCTCCAATTCCATCACAAGATGATTTATTTCAATAGCATGTGAGGAGCAATTGCCCTTAGAGGCAACAGATAACCCTAGAACAGCAGCATCCAAGAAAAGCAGAGCACAAATCACTAACTGGTGTTTCCAATTAAAAATAAAAAATAAAAAAAGCATCAGGAAGAGCCGTGTCTTACAGAGCTAAAATGATGCACTATTTCATGTGGTCTATTTTTTTAAACATTATAATCCAAATAAAATTAAACTGAATTTAGAAATCTGTTTTAAAAGCTGAAAGAAGCACTGCTGAGATATAAGGAGGTGTGTGGGTCAGTACCCAAAATATTTGGTATAATTTTCCACCATATTCATTGAACCAAATCCATGTAAACTTTGAACAAGTTTGGCAAGAGCCATAGTGGTTTTGTTTTTACTGTCACATAATGGAAGAAGTCACTTGTGCACTGGCTATCCCTTTGTAATGGGCATTATCACTGTGGTAAAATGTGTTTATATGTCTTATGACAATCAGGAACCAAGGCAGTTCTTTTAAGACAGTATGGTAATTTCATGAGTGTTTGTTAAGATGTCTGTTCTGCATAGCTGCCTCCATGGGGAGATGCCAATGAAAGCAGGCAGCATTAGGTGCTGCCAGATGAAATCATCACCTGCTTTCGTGCCCCTTCCCAAAGCCTGCTCCTCACAGGCAGCCTTCAGCACATAAACACATGGATGAATCATCTGGCCAGTTTAGAGTCCTTCTCTGCTCAATGAAGTTTAGTCATCTGAGACAGGAAATCACTCTGTGTTGGGAAGCAGCACTGGACAAACCTCAACCAATTTCCAGAGCAGTCAAGGGCTCAGGTTGCAGCAGGAACAATATGATTATGATGGGTAAGAAGCAGAATAGGAAAAATTCCAGCAAGAACTCCACAGAACATAATAGCAAAGATTTCTTTTGCTGTATATCTTTAATAGGTCATTCCAAAAAATATACCAAGATTCATTCTACAAATACAGTAAACTCCTAGAGCTATTTCTATAGAATTCTATTCAATGTGGTAAGATTTTCCTATTCAAATGCCCTGTGCCCTGCATCAATCACCCTGAGCACAGTTCAACAGAAGTATCTGCACAACTAATGATGTCAAGGAGGAGGTACAGAGCAGTAGAAGTTCTTTTTCTCTCCTACTTTCATCAGCTGCAGTATCTCACTATCAGTGAAAGCTAGCAGAGCGATCAGCAGCAAGTTGCCAAAAGATAAGGAAGACTGCTGAGGAGAACTTTGAGAAGTGTCTCCTGTGAAGGTTCTGCACCAAAGCTGACTCAGATTCTGCTTTGTCGAGGCAGAGGCTAAACTTTAGAGTGGTGTCAAGTCTATTTTTATGATACTAAGATCTCCCTGGGAATTTATGAGATTCTCTCTTTGGATTCAAATTATCTCTTCAGGAAGTGTGGGTTATAGATCAGTCATTTTAAACCAGCTGACCTCAGTCACCTTCAGAGACAGGTAAGCTCAAATTGAAAGGATCCCTAGGGTCAGTGGTTTCTGAAGAGGGGGGGGTGTGGGGGGGTTGTGGGTGTGTGTGCACTATCTAAATACTCAAATAAGAGAAACTTGATGCCAGGTGAGAGGGAATTCCCTTGCAGCAGATACAAAACACTAAATTAATGAAAGAACCATTGACATTTCATTCTGGAACCGTTAATGCTTCCCAAGTGGTCCAGGATTAAGTGGAATTAAATTCAATAGTGAATCCCACTTTATATGATGATACAAGACACTAATAGTAATTACCTGTTGAGTGAAAAAGGAGATAAGCAGTAGTTGAGGCGTTTGGGTCACTCATAGCAGACTTTAGCAATTGCCTGAAAAGGTGTTGCCTTTTGTACAGCTCATTATAATCTATCTTTAGAGCTTCGTCACTTTCATATCTGTTTTATGTGCAAGAACTTCCATGTCGAGATGGAACGCTTGCCTCAAATATTCAGGGTGGGTTCATTAAATTTGCAACAGCAGTCAGGGGTGAAAAAGCCACTTGTCAAGCTCAGCCTGCTCATCAATCCACATGCAGGTCTCCTGTTGTCTGCTGGGCAAGGAAGTGTTCAGTGTTTCCAGTGGCTTTGAAGGCTATAGTGAGGCAGCAAAGTGCCAGGAATGTTAGTGAGATTGTGGAAGGCAGTAAGCCACACAGTGCATTTCTGGAGTGAATTTTCTAAGCAGTTCATGATTTTAAAACTCAAAGCTCCATCCACATTGCAATTTAAGCATTTGTAGCTATTCTGAACAAGGGAGAAATTAGGAGATGCTGGATTCTATTACAGGAGAGTTCTTTGATGCTGTTTTCAAACACTATCCAGATACTCCATCTGAAGCTTTCATTTAGAGTAAATACTACAAAGGATTAGTTTTTTGAAAGAAATTAAAAGGATGGAACATTTTCTTGGCTGTTAGACATCTGAGAAATCCAGAAGTGGATGATGCCAAACTATCTGTCATATGTGTACTTCCTGTAGCCTTACTCTCCTGAATGAAATGTGGTTACCACAAAGGATACTTGCAATTGAGAAGGAGAGATCAACTAGATTTGGCTTTCCTAAATATTGCCTGTCTCTTAGAAAGTGTTTTACAGTTTCTATTACAAATTTGAAGGAAAGGTTTTCTCATTAACAATTGTCAGGTTACATTTTCAGCACAGAAAAATTAAGGATATTGAGGTAAGTTTAAAGCCACCATTTTAGAGTTTTAGTCAAGCACTTTCATCAACTGATTGGAATGGCACCACAGGCACCCAATATACTTACAGGACCATTTACAAATATGCTTCTATTTAATTAATCCCTGAAGTAAAAATAAATAAATAATAAAAATACATTGACATACCCAGTTACAAAATACGTGTTTTAGAAGCTATTATAAATAGTAAATGCATATTTACTGTATATAATATAATATATGCATATAATGCATATTGCATATGCAATCCGGTCTTTAAAAAAATAACACAAAACTTGCATTTTTTTTAAAATTTAATAACAGTAAGGGAAACCTTTCTGATTTCTTTAGGTCAGTTTTCAAATCATAGATAACTTAGGTTGAAAGAAACTTCTCTAGGTCATCCAATACCCTTCTCAGTGTTGGTGTCATTTCTTCAGGTTGCTCGTACTGTGTCCAGTCCAGTTGAACCCTCCAAAGATTGAGATTCCAAAGCTTTGCTGAGTGCAGATTACTGCAATGCATTGTTAAAAAACAATCCACATGCAAAACTCTCTCCACTTTTCCAAACACGGTAGGATGTTCCACTTTCTATCAGAGGACATTCTCACTGAATTTTCTGGGTTGCTGTCTTGGGCTGCAATGCAGGATGTAACCAAAAGTATGTACTCTATTACCAGCTGTTAAAACCAGGTGGGACAGTGTTCTTTATCTCTTCCAGACCCATCCTCCCTCCAAGGGGTATCTTGGTTAATGGGCCACTGAGTCTCACTGCATGACTGATAAAATTACATCATCCCATTGGGAGATGCTCCACCCAGCAGGAGGAGCCAAGCATTCCTACCTGGGTATAATCCGAGACTCAGAACAGCCCGGGCAGCCTTTCTCCACTGGATTCCCAGAGGAAGACAGGACCCATCTACACCACCACTGGACCTTCAGAGGAAAACTACACCCTTCTACAGGATCACTGCTTCAGCAGAACCACATCTCCTGTCACTCCAGGAGGACTGCAGCCACCATTTAATTAGACTACTAACAGCACCCTGACTAACAGTGTCATGTTGTATCCTGACACTGGCAGCGTTTTTATTTTGAACTA